CTCTCTCTCTCTCTCTCTCTCTCTCTCTCTCTTTCTGTCTTTCCCCACACAACTCCAAATCCAGTTCCTGCTCCTCTGATTGGTAGAACCTAAATCACAACCGGGTCCTTAGCTGCAAGGACATCTGGGAAATGTAGTTTTCAGCTTTCCTATTTCTGCCCACAAGAGAGTTGGGATGAAGGTGGAGTCGACTAACCCACATGCCCTCCGCACACTCAATGCAAAGAGCTCCTGACTTTGCTTTCTCCCATCTCCTCCTCTCAGTGAGCTATGCTCCCCACCCACCCAGCTCAATGCTTCATGTGACATACAAAACCAAGGCAATATATATATATATATAGCGATAACCATATGTCGTGTGCATGGATCAAAGTTTGGCAGCAGATCTTGGGGAACCAGTGGGCAGTGGGAAGGTTAGGACCTGCTGGTCCCTTGGCATGCTAACATGACTGCAAGATGAGCAGCTAAGCCATCTGCAGAGCAGACCATACTCCTCTCTGATTCCCTCCTACTGCAGAAGGAATTCTGAGTTAGCCACGCCTTGGCTTTCTTTCCCAGGCCTTTGCGTTTCAGTAGGAGTGATTCCCCGTAAGGAAATTTGTCGGGGGCCGGGAGGGGGGGGGGGAGCAAGGACCTGACCATGTGCTCCAAACGAGAGGTCCTTGCGGCAACCAGAGGCAGCTCCAGAAAGTCAAGGTAAGAGGAGTGTGGGGGCAGCAACCTGAAAAGCAATGGGGCTAGATAATGTCCCAAGTTCTTGCATATACAAAGCAAGGATGTGGTTTTGATGGAGATGGCAGGTGTAGACTTAGAGTAATAAAAATAGCTTTTCTCCACACTTCATCCACCTGAGTAAGGCTGGAAAAACACATGCACTGTCTTTCTCAGAATGAGAAGCCCCCCAAACCCTGTAGGTAGTAGTTTTTGGTGGGGGGTGCTGATGAGGCCCAGTTAAAACATTAGGCTGATAGAGGCCTCTGGGCCTGAGAAGGGGAGTGTGGAGGGACACAAGACAGATGACTGGCCCCCGGACCCCACCATTTCCCAGCTGTGTGACCCTGGGAGAGTTACTCCATCTGTATGAGGTGTGGCTTCTGCATATGACAAACAGAAATGTTAATAACTTAGCCATAGGCTTGTTGTAAACGTGAAATGAAATCACACGTCTAGAGCGCTGTAGCAGATGTCAGGGCCCCATCTAGGCCCCGGGCCACCTGAGAGGTCACCTGTAGATCGTGCCCATACACACCCACAGCTTCCAGTGTTCTCTGCCCAAGGGTGTTCTCTGGCCCTGGGAGTTAACTTGGCCCTTTCCCAGGGCAGAGCAGAGCAGAGTGCTGGTAAATCAAGCCTCCAGGAGAGACCCCCAATGAAGGGAAGTACTCAGCTTGCTCACCCCATTGGCACAATTCTGAGGTGCTGCCCTCAGAGGTGACTCAATCATCAGCACAACCTCCAATGGCTTTTCTCTTTTCCTTGTCCCACTTCCTACTTCTTTATTGTGCTTCCTAGAATCACTTCCAAATGAACTCTTTGCACCCCCAAATCCTTGTCTTGGCATCTGCTTTTGGGGAACCCAAACAAAGACAAGAATCGGACCCAGTGCCTGGCTCCTTACAATGTGCCCATCAACAGCTCCATACACGGTTCCCCATCAGAACCATACAACAGAGATTGTCTGAGAGGCAACTTCGTCCATTCTCCCAAGGGAGGTGCATAGTGAGTGCCATTCTAGATGCATGGAGGAGACATTAGTTCATTGCCTATGGTGAGTGCCTTAGGGCATCTGGGCTTCATCCTCTTGAAGAACGCCACCTGTGAACAGTGCAATGATGGCACCTCGCTCATAGGGCCGATGCAAACTCTCAGAACAGCGCCAGGGTCACAGTAAGTTTTCCACAAGGTTAGTTACTGTCATCATCCCCATGGGTTGTGGAGGAGAGAGTGGTCATTGTCCTCCAGCATCCCCCTCCTTTAGTAATCAGAACCACCCCAGTGGCTGCCCTGCCTCCCTTACAACTGCGTGTGTCCCGTGCCTGAGTGCTAACCCACGGGAGAAGCGACACATGCAAGTTCTGCATCATATCCCTACAAAGAAGCTGCTTGGCCTCCATCCACCCCTTGTCCTTACGTGATGATGATAAATGGTGGTGACTAGAGTAGTTGCCCTGGTATCAAAGATGGCAGTCTCATATGGAGCCACCCCATGAGCGAGTCTCACTGTTGACTTTGCTGCTGTGTGGCAGAGAAATAAGACCCATCTTATCCCTCTGTGTTTTAGGGGTTTTTGTTCCAGAAGCTTGTCCTTACCTAACTGGTCCAGCCCAGAGATGGGGTCAAGGGCTGTGACTTTCTTCCTTCTTGTTTTTTTTTCCCCATTGTGCCCACCATGTGCCAGCACTATGCCAGGAACCAAAGTCCCAAAATGGAAAGGATGCAGACCAAACACTAAGGAAATCAAAGTGTAATGAGATAAAGGCAAATATTTTCTCTTTATTTACTTACTAATTTGAGAGAGAAAGAGAAACATTAATTTGTTGTTCCACTTATTTAAAAATTCATCAGTTGCTTCTTGTACGTGCCCTGATGGGGGATCAAACTGGCAACCTTGGTATAGCAGAACGATGCTCTAACCAACTGAGCTACCTGGTCAAGGCTTAAAGGCAAATGTTTTCAATCTTCTGTGATAAATGCTCAAAGAAGTGTTGTGAAGGCAAGAAAAGGAAGCAGTTACCTCAGGACTGAAAAAGTATGGAAGTGGCCAGGCCACAGGGGAGGGAGTGGGATGGTAATGGGGCATCTTCCAGGGAGGGGTAATGGCATTGAGAACGCATGAGACGGCGGGACACATGGGGCATTTGGGCAAGACAAGCTCTACGTCCAACTTTCCCATTCACTTGCCATGGTGCTCACTTCAACTTCCCGGGTCTCTGCAGTTCGAAAATGTGCAAAGAAGTCAAATCCCTCTCTGATTTAGGCCCAGGGGTGCTGTAAGGCATCAGCGATGGACCATTCTGAAGAGCTATGACAGTGCAAATGCTAGTGAGTGGCAATGTCACTTACAAAGCCTGGTTTGGGACATTTTTGCTGGCTGATTGTGCTCCGTCTCCTGAGAAAGAGGGTCAGGCTCCTGGAGAACAGGCGTTCCTGGAGGCTGGCAGCGGCTCTGGAAGTTTCCATGAGGAAGGCCCACTCCCTTGGAAAGCGGTTCAGCTTTCTTCACGGCAGTTGGGCAGTGACCATCCAGCGCCTTAAACATGTGGCCGAGCACGAGGGCTCGAGGGCAGAGGGAAACAAACCAGGGAACCAACCTTACACAAAACACTCGGGTTTTGAGAACACTCGGAAGAGGCGAGAGCTGTTCTCAAACACAGGATGGGTTACAGCGGCAAGAAGGTGGTCCTAAGGGGTTGATCGGGGCTACTGAGCAGAAGTTACAAGGTCTCTCACCACCCCTCCAGGAGAGCTGGGTTGAACTACCACTCAGTATATTCAACATTATCCATTAAATGCGTTTCTCTGTGCCAGGTGCCATGCTGAGCACTGTATAAGCCAGGGGTCCTCAAACTTTCTAAACAGGGGGCCAGTTCACTGTCCCTCAGACCGTTGTAGGGCCGGACTATAGTTTAAAAAAAAAACTATGAACAAATTCCTATGCACACTGCACATATCTTATTTTGAAGTAAAAAAAACAAAACGGGAACAAATACAATATTTGTATTTGCATGTGGCCCGCAGGCCGTAGTTTGAGGACCCCTGGTATAAGCAATGCAGACAAAATGTTATTCAAATAAATGTATAGATATCTGGTACAATGACAAGTCATGAAGGCACACTATTGGGTTGCCAGAGAGAGAGGCCTTACTCAGACAGGGGTCCTGAAGCCTGGTGGAGGAAGGAAGGCGTGCTGTGCGAGGATTGGCAGGGACCTCGGCTCACAGTGGAGGAGCACGAGGCCCAGAGACCAGGAGTCTCTTGCCCAAGACTCACAGCAAGTCGTGTGGTGGAGAATCAGCCAAGTCCCCCTGCCAACTCCTGGAAGCCAGATGCCTGCCTCGTAGCCAGACTTACGAGCTGAGCGCAGCGTGGGCCAGAGGGGTGAGGATGGGGGTGGAACGAACTGCGGCCGGACCCCCAGAGGGTGGAGCAAGGGGCAGGGCGGTCCGATGACGTCATTTCCGGGGTGGGGGTATATAAGCTGTAGCGGGCGAGCACGCCTCTGCTGTTGCTACTGCAGTGTCGGAACTCTGTGCAGGGAGGCTGGTGGGTGGACCGACAGACGGACGCACACAGACTCTGCGACCCCCATCCCCGCTCTAGCGCCTGCGGTAGCCCGTCCCGCACCGCCCGTCCAACCACCCCGCGCCCAGGTGCCCACCGTG